ATCATTGTGGCAATTGTTGAGGTTAATTTAAAGATAGTTAAAATTTGAAGAATTAGTTAAAAGAATAGTTAATAAAGTTATGCAGTTCAAATACATTGTTGTTCTTGTTTCTGTGTTCATTAGATTTAAGAGTGTTTTTCACCTTTTTATTCCTAATAAGTTACATATATATAATTAAAATGAAGACCCCCCCCCAAAAAAAAAAAGAATAAGTAGTTTTCATGCTGTTGGTAAAATATAGGTTTTATAAACCTATATTAAAAGTTATCCATAAGAAACTAAAATATGTTTTTATATATGTCTTTGCAGTATGATGATATTCATGACCACAACAAACTCTTAAAGGACATATCTCAGTATTGTAAGAGAAACAAAGAACAGAAAGAGCTTGAAGCATGGAATGCTGTCAAGCCTAAGCCTAACTTACCAGACAGCCTGCTAATGAAGACTTCTCAACTGACCTCGAGTCTGTGCCCAGCAAATGTTTTTGATGATAATAGTGATGCTCAGTGTTCTTCCACGATCTTCATCCAGCAGTGTGACAATGCTAAAGAAATGACTAAAGAGGCTAATAGTGCTAAGGAAACTACTAGTAATGAGCCAGATTTGTTGAGAGAAGGGTTTTTGCAAAGTTGTCCCATTCCTGTATCTGGTAAAAGTAGATTTCGAGTCAGTCAAGTGTTTCTTGAAAAAGAAGGGGAAAAGACACCACTGACTAAATCAGGTTTTTCAGCTTCTGTTGTAGGTTCTCCATTAGCAGTGCAAACAGCCATTAGAGATCCTGGCATCTCCAACATGGAGGACTTGCACTCAGTTGATAGTCTTCCTCCATCTTTACTATCATCCTTTGTAGAAGATTCTGAAGATCATCATACATCAAAACAGGTTGCCTCTCCAGATATTGCTCAAAGTCAAACCAGGTTAGATCAAAAGTCTTCTGAACAATCAGCTTGTTCCCAAAGCTCTGGAAGAGTGTTTATTTCAAGTTTTAAAGAAAAAGAAATCAGTGAAACTGATGTTTCAAAATGTTGTTCAATGCAGTCTTGTCAAGTTTCCAGTCCACATTTATCACAATTACCCGACTCTTCTTCAGTACAAAGTGCTTCTGGAAATGCTCAGTTATCAATGACCACCAATACTATACAAACTACTTTTCCTTCAACAACATTTTACAAAGCAGTGGTGGTAGATGGTGCAAAAGTGTCTACCAGTGGGAAAGCTTTAGCTGTGCTTCCAAATCAGGTGGACATCTCAAATAATGAAAGAACTGTGAAAATATTCCAAGAATGTAGTTCGTCTGTTCTGAAAGGCCTTAATAGTGAGAGAAATAATTTTATAGAACTAGACGTATTGGGTAAAAAAACAAAGAATCAGAACTTTCCCGATTCAGCGAATAACCAACAATACTTACGGATGATACACCGCAGAGTCAGTACTCCTGTAGTTTCTCTAACTCCACCATCCACATCTAAGCCTATAGCCTTGAACCTAAGTGTCTGTAAACATCTGGAAGGTCTGGATCTACGTAGCTCAGTTCCTCTGTCTCCCACACGACTCCTGGAGGGAATATGTAAGTGTATTCATTATTTTGAGTCTGTTTTATATGATTTTAGTTAAAACAAACATTGTTATTTCTTAATTCTTATATGAATAACATTATTTAAAGTATGTGCTATATACAATCTGATAATAGGTAAAATTAGATTACATGGTATTTTTATGTACCCTATGCACCCTTTGTTATTCTATATATTTATTATTATTTTGATTAAATTATATTTTAGAAGATAATATAAAGTACCCTCTTGTACAATGTCTTTGATCTTACTTTACTGAGGTGATAGCTTTCTTTTCAATCTTGTAGCATTCCCAGATCCACCACTGACAATGAAATAGAAGACTTAATTAATTATGTCAGAAGATCAAGGACTTTAAGCTGGTTATATATGTAATGTACCTCAAGAGTTCACAGTTGTGACCTATTAAACCCTTTCCTTACAAATATTAGTTGTTCAAGATATTGTACAGTATTAATGTTGTTGTAAGATATTAATTGTTGACATATTATACAATGGAAGTTTTGATTATATGGTTATATAAGTTGTGTTTGAAAATGGTGTGTTTAAATGTGAGGCTTAAAAACTGGTGATTTGATTTAGTAATATGCTGAAAGCTAAAAACAGAATGTATAGTACTCTTCTGATGAAGAATAATTTTCTCGCACAATTTCCACATAGGTTGTATGAAAATGTTTAGATGAGAGGGTCATATCAAACATCTTTATGGATATATATATATATATATGTGTGTGTGTGTGTGTGTGTGTATGTATGTGTGAACTTACCAAAGAGTTGTAATTTCTCCTTTCGTAAAAATTTGCCAATATAAAAATTAATTTTTCTTTTACTGAAAGAGAGTTTAAACAAAGTATAGTAATGTTTTCAAACTTTTGTATTGTTTTTGATTTACAAAATTTAGGCTCAATACAAAGGTTTGTAAAAAGAAATATTTTAAAATCTGGATTGAAATATAACACTTTTTTAGGTGTACAAGTAACTTTTACATCATATTCATATTTCCAGACTCTCATGCTAAAATTACTGAGTAATGAATTTGTTATATAAAAGGAAAAAACAATTATGGGCATATAATGCTTAAGTAGAAAAGCTACCTGGTAGTAGGTTTTTGTGTATGTATCCTAGGATATTAGGTAGTGCAGAGATTATAAATAATCGTTTTTTACAATGACTGTCGATTGTGAAATATGAGAACAATATCACTTAGAATAAATAGTTGAACCTTCATATTTTATTTTAATACTTAGTCTAAAAATAAAAATCATAGTAGATGCAAGCTTTAGATTAAATACCAAATGAGATGATATAGTTTTGTGCTGTACATTTGTAAAAAAAATATATATAAATAAAATTTTAATGGATTTAAAATAAAACATACTTTATGAAAAGGCTGTATGAGTTATGTAATTGCAAAAAAAATTTCTAAGTGTCTGAAATGATTATGCACTTGATTTTTCTTGCTAAATGGCCACCTGGTGTTTCTTGAAGAAGAAAAACTTTTTTTGTTTAATTATTTTTAATTTTATGCTTTTTTGTACATGAATAACAATAGCAGACTAAGACAAATTAATGATAAATTTAAAATCACTGGATTTATATGGAAAATTGTTTGATATTATGACAAATATATTCTTATTTTATTTGAGAATAAAAAAATAATTATCTGTGATATAGTAATGATTCATATATATATATATATATATACATGTACCTGTAATATTCCTAGCCAACAGTCTGTAAATTTAAGCTAATTTTGAAACCTTTAGAATTTTATTTTATTATCTACCATTTACAAGATTTCTATTTTTCATTTTCTGCTACCTTTGTCAATTCATTATGGTCCTTTACTTTTAACTTTCTGTTTGATGGTTCAAAGTAACCACAGTTTTTCAGTTGCTTATCATGTGGATGGAGATTTTCTGTAAGTCTTCTGTTGCTCACAGTTCTTTACTCTTCACACAAAAACAGTATCATGTTTCAGTCAGTTGTTATTATTAATTATGCCTGTTAGTTAACTGTAATGATGTGAGTTTGTAGACTGTTTTAAATTTTAAGATTTTTCTGTAAAGATGAAGGAAACATCAGACAATATTTCAATTGCTTGTTATTAGTTTTCTTAATCAGCATGAGTTCATAATATAGTTTTAAACATTTCTTGCATAATCTTATATAAATGTATTTTAATTATGTTTGTACTTTATATTCCATTGTGAAAAGAAAGACTTTTATAATTTTTTGTTACAAATTGTTTATATAAGAATGGGTAATTTATTTTGAATTTATTAGTTTGTTAAAATTTCATGTATCTGAATAAAAAATATTTTTCTTTAATATCAAAATACTAATGAAAATATAATTTTACAACAATTAAATAAAAGAAAGTAAAAGTTGATAACCTATGATGGGCATTTTCCTGTTACAGTGAATAATTTAATGTCTAGACACATCAGTTAATAAATATGATTTGTGTATTTACTTAGGTAACAGTATTTTATCAAGTTTTTATTTCTGGTCATCCACCAGTCAAAGTTGAGATTCATTCTCAATGCCAAAGGGGCTCTAAATTTTCCCTCTTTAAGTAATCTTTAGAATAGTGAACTTTGAGGATTATCAACAAAAGTATTTACTTTGTTCTGTATAAAAATAAACTTATGTTTTTACTCTTTCACATTAGACACAATGTTTCTTTACATTACAGTTTTCATTAATGCATTTTGTGACATTTCTGAAGTTAAAATATGAACATTTACTAGAAGATGCAAGCTGTTGACACATTCCTAAAAGATAGGAAAGAAATAGTGTTGAACAGCTGAAAATATTTAATCAAAAAATGGATTACCATATATATATATTACCTCATCACCTTTTTGCAATAAAGCTCAACCCTTTCTTATTAGCATTTTCTTTAAAATAATATTAAATGTATGCACGTTAATAAAAATAATTAAATTCTAGTAAATGTTTTCAGTTTTTTCTAAATTAATATAGTTAGAAATTATTTTTTTATACAGTAGCTTTTCAAATTTGTATGGTTATAATAAAAGTTAGCTTTGATTCCACCACTTTACACACTCTTTACTTTATGAGCTTTTTTAAGATGGGAAATTTCTAAATATGTAAAAAATTTTAAAGCACATTTTTTATTCAAACTTATTTGTGTATGCTGTTTCCTCACTTTCATTATTTTTATTATAATTATTAAAACAATAAATTAGCAATGTATAACAGCATGTGTTTTAGTTTCATAGGCATAAGTACTTGTTGTCTGATTATTTGGTTACTTTTACTGTTTGTAGTTTTTTCTGATATATATATATATAATTTTTTTTTTAATTCACAATTTTCATTTTAGACCAAAGTAGTAAATTGTTCATTCTTTCTCTAATCCAGTATTCTTTACAAAATCAAGTTAAAATTTTAATGAAGGTTCTAAAATCTCTCAAACTAAATAAATCATTATTAATGTGATTTATCAGTTGGTACTGGTTGTCACAGCACTTTCCAAGCATAGTTTAGATGTGTATAGGATGTTCAGTAGCATCTGTCAGCTAGGGATTGCTCTTGTTAAAATTGGAGCTAGAAAAACAATTGGTATAATGGTCATGAAAAGTGGTACTGGCATTGTCTTTTGTAAGTTCTTGAAAGATTAATTTTGGATTCTGACGAACTTAAACTCTGGTCAAACGAATTACTTGAAAATTTAAGTTTAGGGAAAAGCATTCCTTGGAAATGTAATATCAAGTGATGATTATGGTTTTAAATTGTAAAACATTTATTGTGTTTCATATGCTACATTGTTTATCTGAAAATCTTTTTTTTTTTTCGGTCCCAGGACATATAAACATGAAACATTTGATAGAAAAGAGAATGCTCCAGTCTGTATTATTATACACTGTAGTATTTTAAAACATATGATGAAAAACTGTCAGTAAAAGGAAAAGTAATATGTTTTAATTAATTTAGTAACTACAGTTTAAATATACCAAAAACTTGTTAAACTTAATGCTTTTAAAATGCAAGTTTTGCTAGTGGAATGTGATCTCAGTTACAACATATAAAAGTGACTTTGATGCAGCATTTGTGCATGCTTATTCCTACTCAGTGGGTAACACTGTAAATGAAGAGCAATTAATATTCCATTAAGACATTTTTTGTACAATGCAAATAATATGTATAGATAACAGGAATTTACATTACTATAAATTAATACATTTTTTATACATATTAGATTTTTGTATAATTTGATTAAGATAGTTTAACCTTTTAAATTGAATATCATGATTTTTCTTTGAAATAAGATATCTTAGATTTTCTTTGCATACTGCTATGTATTTTATGCTTTATAGACTGATACTGAGTGCTTTTGTTATTACAATACTGCTGTGTAAACTTATCACTTAAAAGGTATAATTGATTAATCAATTAGTATTTTAAGATCCGAGCGATATTGCAAATGATTTTTGGTTTCATTTGTAAACATTTTAGATGTTGTTATTTTTGAATCCAAATGTAATTCTAGATAGTGTTATAACTAATTGAGGCCCTCACCAGGAAAAAAACGTTATTAGTAGCTCTGAGGCTTTTTGAGTATTTTCATAGTGACATAATTTTTATTTGGATCAAGCATGTTGGCCTCAACATTTGACTTGTGTAAAAACTGTTCAAGGCTTAATGTAACATATTCACAAAGATTTAACACTTACTAATCTTATTCTAGATTGTATTTTAAGATACATGGATTTCATTCATGAACTACCCAGTTTCTTTAAATGGTGTTTCACTAGTATTTTAGTGTTTAATATTACCATACTGAGAGAGATAATGAGCTTCTCAATATGTGTTAAGATGAACTAAGATGTGGAAAGATTCTGTAGTGTTTGGGTAGCTGATGACTAACTATCTCCAAGAGAGAACATGGCGATTGATTTTTACATTTTACCTCTGTTCGAGATCTTCTCTTCCAATACCCTACTTCCTTAAAAACTTAAAAATTAAAATATTATTTTTTTATTAATAATTTCATCTGTGGCACCACTGATTTAATCCCTTGCAGAGATTTTAATTAAAGGGTTTTAATAGCAGTTTGATATGACATCTGGTCAGTTCCAATCAGATATATCTTTAAGGTAATAAAACTCTTACTCTTCCTTACAGCTGAAGATACTTAAAAAAATAAAAGAACAGAGAAATTAAACAAATAGGAAGGTAAAAATTATTGTTCTCAAGTTTTTACAATCAATTCTTGATTATATATTAAAGTTTAAGTTCTGCAAAGAAATGGAGGACAGTATATATTTTGTTTTGTTTGTCTTTCTCTTTGAGTGGCCACATAATTCTGTCAACAGTAGTTTATTACATCACATAATTGGTAAAAAATTGGTAAATTATTTTCAAAGGATCAGACAATGACTAATATGAAGACAGCTTCCAAGTTGTAAAATTTGTTTTTGTCTTATAAAAGAAGGAATTTGATAGAGAAATCTAATTAAATCCGACTTAATTCCAAATATGTTGTTAACTCAGTGTAATTTATGTTAACAAAGCAGGTTTGATCTTGATAGTAAAAACCTACATTCATTTTATAAGATAGGGTGACTGGTGGATTTTTAATACATAAATGTAATTTGACCTAGTGGAACTTGTTCTAAATAATAAGTGATTGGTATTAAATGTTTTAATTCAGTCTGAAGCAAAAAGCCTGAGAATAATTGATGGCTCATGTCACCTCACATAGTCCTTCTTAAGACATTCCAGTAGGTAGCAGTGGATTCATAGCCTAAACTTAAAATATGAACTAATTAGTAATTAATATTAAAAAAATAAATTAGTAACTAATTATCAATTAGACTTTGGTGGTTGTATTGGCTAATAATCATGACAATGTCTGTTCTTTATTGTTGATAAACAATACGATTATGTAGGGACAGATAATACCATGTTTTGTGTATGTAGTACTTAAGTATTCCTATTTTTCTTTATATTACTCACTTATTTATAAAAATGTGCTCAAACAGAAACATGGATTCAGGAGTCATAAGAAATAACAAGATGTATCTGTCCATAAAAATGATTTCTTTATTTATCCTAGAAATACAGAGCCACAAAAAAAAATGTTAATATCATCAGAAAGCGTAACAAAAGTATTTGATCAGTTTTAATATTTAAAATGTGTCAAGACAGCAGGTTGAATGATAGGAATGAAAAGTGTAATGAAACTAATAAGAACTGAGTTATTCTGTAGATTATTACTAACAAACTAGTG